CACATGAATAATATGAAACATGGATAACAAACAGACAATCAAAACAAAAGGATACACAAACCTTTCTCATCACAAAAGCCGAGACTATCCTGTGAAATGAAATATTTTAAAAGGCCGATGAGAGCCACTAACAACACAAATACATCTCTTCCAGGACACTTAGGGAACTCTTTCGCCACCAGGGGGACACGAGCCATCAAGGAGGAGTGGTCAGCTGTTGTACTTAGGTCTTTCTCTCTCTCTCTCTCTCTCTCTCTCTTTCTCTCTCTCTCTCTCTCTCTCTCTCTCTCTCTCTCTCTCTCTCTCTCTCTCTCTCTCTCTCTCTCTCTCTCTCTCTCTCTCTCTCTCTCTCTCTCTCTCTCTCTCTCTCTTTCTCTCTCTAGTTCCTCTCCCTCTCCCTTCCCTCTTCCACTCCCTTCCCTTCCCCCTACTCTGACCTGACCTGAACTCCCTTTGGCTTTGACCTTATCGCGTGGATGTTCTCACACGTCCTGCTTCACAACACGTTCCATCTTCCTTATCTTCTTATGTCCTTTTATTTCTGTTGCTTCTTACCTAGAGAAAGAATAAGAGGAGAGTCGAAAAGCCATTTATTTATTTTATTATTATTAGTAGTAGTTAGTAGTTAGTAGTAGTAGTAGTATTTTTAGTCAGTACGGACTAAGAACATGCACACACATACATATTTACATAAATCGGACCTAACTTAAGATGGTGTACACACAGAATAGATTCCCACATATTACTTCCTGTGCATATCCTGTCACGTGTCAGGGTAGAACAAAGCGTATATAAAGAAACGAAAAAAGAAAAGAAAAAGAAAAAAAAAAAAACATTGTGAAGCCCGGGAGTGAAAATTGCCCTATTTACCGTGAATTATCGTCGCCTATTCATGTTATCCCTCTTTATCCATTTAACGGGTCGTTGGCCAGGATTGACAATCGTGTAAAAAAAAAAAAGAAAAGAAAGAAAGAAAGAAAAAAATAGAACACGAGGAAAGGCAAAAGTGTTAACGCAAAGCATTTTTTTCCTGGAACGGATGTTTTTGTCTGTATGTCTGTTTGTGTCTCTTATTTTGTGTGGTAAAAAAAAAAAAAAAAAAAAAAAAAAAAAAAAAAAAAAAAAAAAAACAGTTAGCAATCAACAGGGAATTCGATAAATGGAAGATTTTTTTTTTTTTTTAATAGAAGAAATTATTTTTTAAATGCGATTATACAGAGAACGGAAGTATGTAGGATGTCCCTCCGGCTTTCGTTCTTATCTCAAATGTTTTCGTCTTGAATTATTTCTTCTCTCTTCTACCTTCCTCCTCCTTTCTCACTCTGTCTCTGTTTTGTCTGTTTGTCTCCTTCTCTCTCTTTCTTTCTCTCTCTCTCTCTCTCTCTCTCTCTCTCTCTCTCTCTCTCTCTCTCTCTCTCTCTCTCTCTCTCTCTCTCTCTCTCTCACTCTCTCTCTTTCTCTTCCTTTCTCTCTCCATCTCTTTATTTCCTTATATCATCACTAACCGTCTCCCCCTCGCACACACACACACACACACACACACACACACACACACACACACACACACACAACACACACAACACACACACACACACACACACACACACACACACACACACACACACACACACACACACACACACACACACACACCACACACACACACACACACACACACACACACACACACACACACACACACACACAACACACATACAGAACTGAAACAGCTAATCACTTTAATTTCCTATCAACGGCGACAATGGCATATGACGAAGCCTCTAAGTAGGAAACCGATTTAAGGGCTTGCACGGGACGCTGATTCGCCACAGGAACCACGGCAGACCAGGTGAGTGGCGGACGCTTGCTCTCGGTTCGGGAAATCTCTCTCTTGAACTGTGAATGTGTATGTAGTATATATATATATATATATATATATATATATATATATATATATATCATAATATATTAATATACATATGTATACATATGAGCTATTATAATATACAATGTTGTTTGTGTTATCACAGGTATATTATACTATATATGTATATCTATATATATATATATGTGTGTTTGTATACACGCATACTAATATATATATGTATAATATATATATTATATATATTATATATAGTATATATTAATATATACATAATATGATGTGATATATTATAGTAATTGATGTATATATATATATATATATACTATAAGTAAATATATATATTATATATAGTATTATATATATATATATATATAATATATGCGTGTGTGTATAAATATAAATGCATATGTATATCAATAATACCTCATACTATAAGTTATATTAATATATATATATTTATATATAATATATATAATATATATGTGGAAATATGATATATATGTGTATATATATACACATCATCTTGGTATAATCTGTTCCCATTGATTTTAATATATTGCATAATGCCTTGTTAGTGAAATATTGCACCTACCTTCTTTATGGCTCATTTTATAATACATTAATCCAACCTAGTTGAACCAACCTAACTTAGCCTAATCAAATCTAATATATGAAGAGATACATTGACCTCATTCCCCCCCCCCCCAAAAAAAAAAAAGAAAAAAAAAGAAAACGCGATAGCAAAACTTATTTAACGCCTTATCTTTATACTTTTAAGGACGAGGTTCAAGTGGCACTCGATATATCCTGTCGCACGGGGTTATCCTTCAGCGATCGCGGGACTGGGAAGTTATCGTCAGGAATTTTCTTTTTATATATTAACATCCTTTATGAGCCCGGTTTGTTAAGATTGTTCGGAATCCGACCCAATGAATATTCATTATGCGGACATGCATATACATAGAAATGAAGGCATATCTATCAGTCTAGATATGCATATCTACCGTATAGACAGATATATGCATAAACATCTGATAGATAGATATATGCATAAACATCTGATAGACAGATATATGCATAAACATCTGATAGATAGATATATGCATAAACATCTGATAGATAGATATATGCATAAACATCTGATAGATAGATATATGCATAAACATCTGATAGATAGATATATGCATAAACATTTGATAGATAGATAGATGTGTATATATCTGATAGATAGATGTATATTCAACTGGTAGATAGATAGATGTTTATACATCTGATAGATAGATGCATAAACATCTATAGATGAATAGATGTATGATGATAGATAGATGTATATACATCTGATAGATAGATAGATGTATATACATCGATAGATAGATGTATATACATCTGACAGATAGATGTATATACCTCTGATAGATAGATAGATGTATACACCTGTTAGATAGATAGATGTATATACATCCGATAGATAGATAGATATAGATAGATGATATCTTGATAGATATATAGATGTATATACATCTGAGAGATAGATATATGAATCTGATAGATAGATAGATGTATATATCTGATAGATAGATATATACATCTGATATATATAATGATAAATAGATAGATGAATACATCTGATAGAAAGATATATACATCTGATAGACAGATAGATAGATATATCTGATAGATAGATATATACATCTGATAGATAGATAGATATTTACATCTGATAGATAGATAGATATATACATCTGATAGATAGATAGATACATCTGATAGATAGATAGATGTATATACCTCTAATAGATACATGGCTTTGCATCTAAATCTGTAAATGAATGTCTTTGTATACGAATATTCATTGGGTTGAGCCTTGCACAATTTTAACAAGCCAGCCTTACGTCTCTCAAGTTCATTATTTTATTGTTGTGAATATCCTGATTCTTAATTACGTATTTGACTTTAAACACAAGGCTATTTAAGGTGTGTTTTGGTAGCATATAGGCTGTTGAAGTTGGTTAAATATTACAGGAAAATATAACTGATATGTATATGGAATTCGGAATAGATGGCATATAATGGAGGCTTTTTTAATTGCTGGTTATACCATCAAACTTTAATTAATAATTTAATCATAATTTATTTTTTTACGTTACTATTCATTACGTGTTTCTTGTCTTTTATATTTTATTTGTTGGATAGTTTAACTTCGTTGTAGTTTTGTTCTGAAATGATCAGGGTAAGGAAATTGTTCTTATCAGATACTCTCTCTCTCTCTCTCTCTCTCTCTCTCTCTCTCTCTCTCTCTCTCTCTCTCTCCTCTCTCTCTCTCTCTCTCTCTCTCTCTGTCTCTTCCTCTCTCTCTCTCTCTCTCTCTCTCTTCTCTCTCCCTCTCTCTGCTTGATAGCACGATTTTGTCCTACTTTGATAGTTTAACTTCGTTGTAGAACCTGGTTTTGTTCTCGAAATGATCAGGGAAAGAAAATTGTTCATATCAAATACTCTCTCTCAATCTCTCTTTCTCTCTCTCTCTCTCTCTCTCTCTCTCTCTCTCTCTCTCTCTCTCTCTCTCTCTCTCTCTCTCTCTCTCTCTCTCTCTCTCTCTCTCTCTTCATCCCCCAATCTTTTTGAAACAAAGAAGGCAGAAGCTGAACTTCATCTGGTAGACTCTGAGACATATATTTGCTTGTAACTTTTAGATGCTGCTTCCTGTACCCTTTTGCATTTTATCTACCAAACATTTTCATACTTTTCTTTTAAATGTTTTATTTATTTAATCCTTTTTTTAAAAAATTATTATTGTTGTTGCTTGTCGTTGTTGTTGTTGTTTTGTTGCTTTGTTGCTGTTGTTGTGTTGTTGTTGTTGTGGTTGTTGTTGTTGTTGTTGTTATTATTATTTTTATTTTCATTATTATTAACATCATTATCATTGTTATTATTATTATTATCAGTTATCATTTTATTATATTATATTATTATTATTATATTATGTTATTATTATATTATTATTATCATTATGTTATTATTTATTATCATATATTATTATCATTTATTATCAGTAATCATTATTATTATTCTTTTTTCTTTGGACTGACTGATTCATTCACGTGTCCACTTCACAGCA